CGGTGTGTGTGTGTTGGAGGTGGTGTGTGTGAGTGGGGGTGTTGGAGGTGTGTGTGTGGCCGTGTAGTGTGGGAGGTGGTGTGTGTGTGGCTGAGTGGGGGGTGTGGGAGGTGGTGTGTGTGTGTGGCTGAGTGGGGGGTGTTGGAGGTGTGTGTGTGGCTGAGTGTGTGTGTGTTGGAGGTGGTGTGTGTGAGTGGGGGGTGTTGGAGGTGTGTGTGTGGCCGTGTAGTGTGGGAGGCGGTGTGTGTGTGGCTGAGTGTGTGTGTGTTGGAGGTGGTGTGTGTGAGTGGGGGTGTTGGAGGTGTGTGTGTGGCCGTGTAGTGTGGGAGGTGGTGTGTGTGTGGCTGAGTGGGGGGTGTTGGAGGTGGTGTGTGTGTGTGTGTGGCTGAGTGGAGGAGTGTGTGTGGTTGAGTGGGGAGTGTGGGAGGTGGTGTGTGTGTGACTGAGTGGGTGTGTTGGAGGTGGTGTGTATGTGTGTCTGAGTGGAGGTGGTGTGTGTGTGTGTCTGAGTGGAGGTGTGTGTGTGTGTGGCTGAGTGGAGGGGTGTGTGTGTGTGTGGTTGAGTGGGGTGTGTGGGAGGTGGTGTGTGTGTGACTGAGTGGGTGTGTTGGAGGTGGTGTGTGTGTGTCTGAGTGGTGTGTGTGAGGTGGTGTGTGTGTGTCTGAGTGGTGTGTGGGAGGTGGTGTGTATGTGTGTGGGGTGTGTTGGAGGTGTGTGTGTGTGGGGTGTGTGGGAGGTGGTGTGTGTGTGACTGAGTGGTGTGTGTGGGAGGTGGTGTGTGTGTGTGTGTGACTGAGTGGTGTGTGTGTGTGGGGTGTGTGGGAGGTGGTGTGTGTGTGACTGAGTGGTGTGTGTGGGAGGTGGTGTGTGTGTGTGACTGAGTGGGGTGTGTGGGAGGTGGTGTGTGTGATTGAGTGGTGTGTGTGGGAGGTAGTGTGTGTGGCTGAGTGGGTGTGTTGGAGGTGGTGTGTGTGTGTGGCTGAGTGGGGGGTGTTGGAGGTGTGTGTGTGTGTGACTGAGTGGGGGGTGTTGGAGGTGTGTGTGTGTGTGTGAGTGGGTTGTGTTGGAGGTGGTGTGTGTGTAGTTGAGTGGGTGTGTGGGAGGTGGTGTGTGTGATTGAGTGGAGTGTGTGGGAGGTGGTGTGTGTGGCTGAGTGGGTGTGTTGGAGGTGTGTGTGTGTGGCGTGTGTTGGAGGTGTGTGTGGGGTGTGTTGGAGGTGTGTGTGTGTGGCGTGTGTTGGAGGTGTGTGTGGGGTGTGTTGGAGGTGTGTGTGTGTGTGTGGGGTGTGTTGGAGGTGTGTGTGTGGGGTGTGTTGGAGGTGGTGTGTGTGTGGCTGAGTGGGTGTGTTGGAGGTGTGTGTGGGGTGTGTTGGAGGTGGTGTGTGTGTGGCTGAGTGGGTGTGTTGGAGGTGTGTGGGGTGTGTTCGAGGTGGTGTGTGTGTCTGAGTGGGGTGTGTGGGAGGTGGTGTGTGTGTGGCTGAGTGGGTGTCTTGGAGGTGGTGCCTGTGTGTGGGGTGTGTGGGAGGTGTGTGTCTGTGGCTGAGTGGAGGTGGTGTGTGTGTGTGTGGGGTGTGTTGGAGGTGTGTCTGTGGCTGACTGGGTGTGTTGGAGGTGTGTGTGTGTGTGGGGTGTGTTGGAGGTGGTGTGTGTCTGTAGTGACGGGGTTGGGCTGTCTGTGCAGCTGGCAGCGTCCCCATTTCACTCTACCCCCCCCCCCATCTCTCTCTCTCCCTCTTCCCCTCCCCCTTCTCTCCCTCCCCCGCCTCTCCCTGCGTCTCCCTCCTCCTCACCACCACCACCCGTCCTCTGTCACCACCCTTCTCCCTGCCATGTCATCTTGTGTCCGTCCCTCTCCGCTCTCTCCACCCCCCCACCTCATTCATTCATTGCCCCCACCGCCTCTCACTCTCTGATTCTCTCCCCTCCCTCCCCCTCTCCATCCCCTCCCCCCTCCCCTCTCCCGCCCCTCCCCCTCCCCCCCCCCTCTCCCGCCCCTCCCCCTCTCCCGCCCCTCCCCCTCTCCCACTTCTCCCACCCATCTCACCCCCCTCCTTTTCGCATCTTGCTAAATCTTGGCTTTGCGAGCCACATCATCAATGCCTTGGCCCAAACCTCCCACCCACCTCCCTTCCCTCGCCAATACTCGCACAACGCCTTACATGTAACTCTCCACACACACTCACACGTCTCGAGATAGAGATCCCCCGTGTAGCCTCGACATACTGTTAGGGTCAAGTGCTGTTAGCGAGCATCTATGACAACCGGAATGGCACACCGAGGGGTGGGTGGCCAGCACCGTCACAAAAGGTGATGCTTACACGCCACACCAGGTACACGTTTAAGTCTGAGTCGACCTAGGGGGAGGCCTAGGATCTGTTCAGATATTCGCCACTGTTTTTTGGGGCGTGAGTGGGAATTTAACTCGCCGGGTTTGTAGCGCAGCGTAACACACCTCCCCCAACACACACACACATCCTCCAACACACACACACACATCCTCCAACACACACACATCCTCCAACACACACACCCACACATCTCCCCCAACACACACACCTCCATGCAAAGACAAAGATCCCCCGTGTAGCCTTAACAGACTGTAGGGGCAAGTGCTGTTAGCGAGCACCTATGAAGGCCGGCACGGCACACGAGGGGGTGTGTGGCCAGCACCACGCCCGGCACGCATCTCTTCACGCATCTCTCCACACACACTGAGCCCTAAACACACCACACCTCTCGAAGCACACACGCACACACACATCCTCGTACACACGTCAACAAACACACGCACATCGTGTGTACTATATACACACACACACGCTGTAGTGTCCGGTTCTCTATAGTGTGTATATTATGTACGTGTACATTGAGTGTACAATACATATTTCTGGTCTGTACACACACACGCAGCGGTGACATCAACGTCTCTGGCCGTGACATCTTGACGCGTCTCTATTTAGCGTGTGTACACCACGGGCGCGTGGACGGCGTGGGCATGTGCGTTGTAGCGTGCGCGCGTTGTAGCGTGGGCGCGTTGTAGCGTGCGCGTTGTAGCGTGTACTAGGACGACTGCATTGTGTGTGTGTAGAGATAGCGCGGCGTGTGTGTGTGTGTCACGCGTGTGCTGGCTGCTGCTGCTGCTATGCAGCCTTGATTACAGCCACATTTCACTTCTCCATCCCCTGGGGCCACGGGGCTGCATCTCGCGTGGACGAGTGTTCACGGTAACGCAGCAGCAGTAGCAGCAGCTATACCACAGTGTGCTGAATACCCATCACAGTCATATCCCCCAGTGGTAGTAGCCGGTAGCTATACCGCAGTATACTGGCTACGTACTAGGGCTGAACGATTAATCGATTTCAAATCGAAATTGCAATTTGAAACGATGCGATTGGCAAATCGCAAAGGCTGCGATTTTTTGCGATTTGAAAAGTCCTGTTACTTATGGCAATTGTTTTATTATTTTTATTATAACTTTTTTTAATTTAATTTAACAATTGCTCTATGTTTGATTGTTCTATTTCAATTCAAACATTTTAATAAATGCATGTTGGAAGCTATTCATATTTTATGGTATCATGCGGTAATGCTCCATCACATGTTTTAAATCTATTACACAGTGAATATTGACCTGAAGCTTGACTTACATTTTTTATTGCAAATCGCAAGATGTCAGAAAAATCGCAATTAGATATTTCCCCTATATCGTTCAGCCCTACTACACACCACATTCATACCCCAGTGGTAGTAGCCGGTAGCTGTGTAACAAACTAGCGCTGTGGGTCACTCCATCCCAAGTCACTCCTTGCAAATGAAACTATCCTCGTCTGTCTTGCGTTCTCAGCCGGTTAAACAAGCACACACTCGTGTGTACATAGCCCCAGCTATTTCAGTCCACGGGGCATGTACAACGCACAAGACGTGTGTGTGACGGGGGCGGACTGCCTTGTACGTTCCACCGATTACCCGAGTTCGATTCCCAAGCGCAGCTTATAGCATCAGTCGCAAGTGTATTGTAGCTCAGTCCGTCGCGAGCCTCTCTCTCCCCTGAGGTTGTCTCGGTATTCACCGAGTACTTGGTTCAGACGTGTCAACACCAGCGCGGGATGAAGCCCTGGGGGTGGGAGGCAGAGAGGTTGGCTCGAGGCGTGGTACTGAACGCATCATCACCTTCTCGTGTGCCAATGCCGACGTTAATAGGTGCTCGCTAACGCCACTTGCTCCATCGGTCTGTCTGGCTAAACAGATGACATCTTTCCATGCGCGCGCGCGCGCGTGAATGTGTAATCAAGCAAATGTGCCGTGAAGCCTATGTGGGACGCGCACTGCCCTCCGCTGCCCTCTGCTGCCCTCTGCTGACTGCGATGCGCGTGTCGCTTCGTGCGCTGGTGGTGGACACGTGGTGTGTGTGTGCCCTTGCGCGTTGTGTTGTGGGTACACACGGTGGCACGTGGTGGGGACATGGTGTATTTGCGGTGAAGATACCACGCGTAGAAATATTTCGGATCTCGATTGGAAGCTCATCTCGTTAGGACTGCTATTTTTAGTGTTGTCGTCCTTGCCCCGCGCCTCCGATTAGCGCGGTTGGCTACGTACGGTGCGACAGAAGTTCAACGCACGTACACATCCTCCGTCGTGGTTATTACACGTTGCGTGCAGTGGCGCGACACGGTGCCCCACGTGGCGCTTATCTTCGCTATGTGCGGTTGTGCCGCATGGATCTCCTCGCTGTACTGCCCCCCCCCCCCCACGTCTCAACGCCGCATTCCTCTCGCCGCAAAAAAAATCCATCGCGCATCCCATTTCAGAAAAATCCATCGCGCCCCCCAAAAGCAATTACAGCAAAATCCCTAAACGACACCTAAAGGAATCCTATAGCCGCCCCCAGGATTTCCGATACGTTATAGAACCGCGAAGCCGCCACCGCCGCCAGTGACCGTACTCATCCCTGTGATCCCCCTCCGCCTCTCGCCCCCTTGTGTGCCCCCCCCCCAATCACAGCGCTGCTGTCGTCCTGGTGTGAGGACCTCGGTCGCCTGCTGCTGCTGCGCCACCAGAAGACGCGGCAGAGCGAGGGGGGCGCCAAGCTCACCCCGATGCAGCCGGGGATGAACGCCATGAAGCCCAATCTCCCGCCTCCGCACGGGTACCAGCCACTCGCCAGCCCCGCTCGCCCGCATCTACCCCTCCTCACCCCCGCTCGCCCGCATCTACCCCTCTTCACCCCCGCTCGCCCGCATCCACCCCTCTTCACCCCCGCTTGCACGCATCCACCCCTCTTCACCCCCGCTCGCACGCATCCACCCCTCTTCACCCCCGCTCGCCCGCATCCACCCCTCCCGCTCTCCAGCGCCGCTCGCCCACATCCACCCCTCCCGCTCTCCACCCCCGCTCGCCCGCATCCACCCCTCTCCACCCCCGCTCGCACGCATCCACCCCTCTTCACCCCCGCTCGCCCGCATCCACCCCTCTTCACCCCCGCTCGCACGCATCCACCCCTCTTCACCCCCACTCGCCCGCATCCACCCCTCTTTACCCCCGCTCGCCCGCATCAGACCCTCTTCACCCCCGCTCGCCCGCATCCACCCCTCTCCACCCCGCTCGCCCGCATCCACCCCTCTTTACCCCCGCTCGCACGCATCCACCCCTCTCCACCCCCGCTCGCCCGCATCCACCCCTCTTTACCCCCGCTCGCACGCATCCACCCCTCTCCACCCCGCTCGCCCGCATCCACCCCTCTTTACCCCCGTTCGCACGCATCCACCCCTCTCCACCCCGCTCGCCCGCATCCACCCCTCTTTACCCCCGCTCGCCCGCATCCACCCCTCTTTACCCCCGCTCGCACGCATCCACCCCTCTCCACCCCGCTCGCCCGCATCCACCCCTCTTTACCCCCGCTCGCCCGCATCCACCCCTCTTCACCGTCGCTCGCCGGCATCCACCCCTCCCGCTCTCCACCCCCTGCAACAATCACCAACAGTCACCAAACACCACCAGTGCGAACACAAGGGTTCCCCTTTTGTAGCCTTTAACCGGCTGTTAGGGCAAGTGCCATTTGCGAGTAGCAACTATGAAAGCCGACACGGCACACAAGGGCGTGGATTGCCAGCACCACACCTGACCACCTCTGTCTTCCGAGTGGCGATGTTTACACACCACACCAGGTATTCAATTGACCGGTGTTGGCAGTGAGCGGGAATGGAACTCGGGTCACTGGATTTGTAGCGCGACCCGCTAATTGCTGTGCCACCGCTCCCCACGGTACAGACAGACACACCCTGACGCACGCACGCGGCCAGCCCCAATGCGGCCGCGGTTTCTGTGACCGAGAAATGGAATCGGCGGCGGCGGCGGCAGCACGCCGCAGCCACCGCCGCCATTAGCCGCTCCTCTCGAGTAATTAAGTGGGGAGGGCTTTGCCGCGGCTTTGTTTGTCGTGCGCAGGGTGAGGCAGCGGGTGACTGTCGGGCTAATTGAATCTGCCCTGCGCTCCGTGTGAGGGCGGCGCTAATTACACGGGGGGGTACACGGTGACATTTCAATTGGAGTGGCTGCTGAGGTTGAGACGCGGGGGCGGAATCGTGCCGTGAGGTTGCGTGCGTGTGCAGCGTGCGGTGTGCTTGCCGGCCCGTACTTGCGGGAGGTTTAACCGAGACGCGGTGTGGCCGGGGCAGGTGCTGCGTGAACGCTAGTCGCCCCCCAAATCAGTTAACGCGCAACACCCGGTCTGCCCCATGACCTGCTGGCGAGCCCTTGTTGCCGACGATCCACGTGGCATCGAAGTGCACCTGTACCTGGCACGTGTGCCTGGTGACGTCACTGGGTTAGAATTACTTCTCTGTTGAGGTCTCTAATCCCCGCATTCGTAGCCCCGATAACGTGACTATAATTAATTGTGACATCGCGTAAATATTATGAGTAAAGCGGCCGCGTCAAGCTCGGCAACGCGATTGAGCGCCGTCGCGCTGGGGTGACCTGCTGAAGACTCCCTGCGTGTGTCTGTGCGTGTGTGTGTCTGTGCGTGTACGCTTGTGTGTGCGCGTACGTTTGTGTGTACGCGTGCGCGATCGCAGGGACGGCCCATTCACATACAACGAGTCCGTGCCGTGGCCACAGAACCCGAACCAGCCGCCGGGGTCGCTCTCCGTCGTCACCACGGTGTGGGGCGTCACCAACACCACGCAGAGCCAGGTGGCGTACTCACGCACGCACACACCGCCAGCAGATATACGCGCACAGTGCACGTGTGGGTAGGCCTACATGTGGCACAGTGAGAGAGATGAAGATCCCCCTGTAGCCCGACGCAGACTTGGGGAAGAAGGTGATGCCGTTAGCGAGCCCCAGTGAACAACAACACGGCGCACGAGGGGGTGGTGTGGCCAGCATCGTGCCCGGCCGCCTTTGTCTCCCCAGTGCTGACATTTGCTACACACTGCCACCAGGTGGTCATTTAAGGCTGAGTCGACATAGGGACTTTGGGGAGGCTCCGGACTGGTTCAGATATTCTTCACTTGACGTTGGCCGTAAGCGAGAATCGAACTCGGGTCGCCAGGTTCGTAGAGCAGCAGGCCGACCACCGCGCTACCGCTGCACACGCACGCACGCACACGCACGCACACGCGCACACGCACGCACACGCACGCACACGCACGCATGGACATGCACACGCACGGACACGCACGCACGCGCACGCACACGCATGGACACGCACGGACATGCGCATACACGCACACGCACGCACACGCACGCGCACGCACGCACACGCACGCACACGCACGCACACGCACGCGCACGGACACGCACGCACGCGCACGCACGCACACGCACGGACACGCACGGACATGCGCATGCACGCACACGCACGCGCGCACACACGCACGCACGCACACGCACACGCACACGCACGGACACGCACACGCACACGCACGGACACGCACGGACACGGGACACGTGCCAGCCGTGTCCTACGCACTCGGCCCACGTGCGTCAGGAGCGACCGAGGCCAAGGTCAGAATTTCTATTCGGTGCTCTGCGCCCACGGCTATCACTGCGCAGAGTCACGCGCGTATTTTTAGCCGCAGCGATAGGCAACGGACACACGCTACGCATGGACACATGCTCGTATATGCATGTACGCATGCACACACACAAATCAATGAGCGTGCACAAAGACACACACGTACACATTTACTCAGCCAGACGTGCACAAAAGACAGTGGGTAGCCATTACTATGCCAAGCCACCTTTGTCTCCCCAATTATACTGTTTACACACCATACCAGGTGCTCATTTAAGGCAGAGTTGACCATTTATGCACACAAAAGACAAAACAGCTCCCGATTTAACTGTTGGAATGAGTAGAGTTATTAAGCCATCGCTGCGCAGAGGGGTGTGGTGTGGCCAGCTCGACTCCCGGAAGCCTTTGTCTCTTCACTGCTGATGTTCACACTCAGCACCAGGTGCCGAGTCAACCTAGGGGAGCCTAGGACAGGCCAGATACAACTTCACAGCTTACCACTGATGTTATGAATGGTTGAGAATACAACGAAGGTCACTGAAGGTCGGTCGTGAAGTTTGATAAATAACACAGCACCACACACACATGTACCCCACCCGTACACACATGCTTATGCAGACACACATACAAATGTATACAGATATAAAGATTCATCTTCTTGGTTCTTTCGGTAAAGTCACGTAGAAGGGAAATAATAAAATAATAAAAATTTAACATAATAAAATACAATTGTCACGACGTTTCGGCCACAACGCAAGCAGCCGTCCTCAGGTGAAGAACAGGTCTGTCGGAAAGACAGCGTATGTCTTTCCGACAGACCTGAATCCCTGCAGTCACGAAAGCTTTAAATCGAGATAATAAAGATACCCCGCATAGCCTTAACACGTTTTTGGGGCGAGTGCTGTTTGCGAGCAACTATGAAGTTCGGAAAAACGACACACCAGGGGGTGGGTGGCCAGTACCACGCCTGGCCGCCTTTGTCTCCCCACTTATACTGCCTCAATTAAGGCTGAGTCAACTTAAGGGAGGCCCAGGAACGGTTCAAATATTCTCCACTGTTATTGGTTGTGAGCGGAAATCGAACTCGGGTCGCGCAGCACGCTAACCGCTACGCTACTTCTCCCGACACATACGTACACATGCACAAGAAATGTATACAAAGATATAGATCCCCCAGACTGTTGTTGAAAATGCTGTTGGCAAGTGCCTATTAAGGCCGCCAATGTCCACACTCGATCTCCTGTCCTTAGCCAAGGCTGGTGGTGGCGGTGGTGGGCGGTACAGAGGATGAACTCGTGACGTTTGTTCCCAGACTCGACTCTCTGCCGATCTCCAACTGTGATACGGCTCGCAGGCAGTGTTTAGACAGACGGAGTTCTTTATTTAACCGCGCGAGAAAGAGAGAGCCCCACTGAGATTTGCACGTCTTTTACAAGGGAGACCCAGGGCACGCAGAGGACACAAGCGTGCGCCCGCCGGCGCGCAGCTATTAATCCGACGAAACACGTGTAGCACAAGGACGCCACGGCGTGTAAGCGACGCACGTCAAACAACAACAACAACACGGCGCAGCCCGTGACAATACAGCGACTTGCATTACCGAGTCAACGAAAATGACAGAGCTGGCAACGTGTTTCGGGAAATGGCCCTTGTACGAAGCACGTGGGACAGAGGCCTTTCGTCTCTCGCACAGCACACAGAGAGAGGCCGCTTTGAGCCTCTTTGGCCTGTGTGAAAAGTATACAGAACGTCGCCCATTTTATAATTTGTATTCAGGCCACAGTGTTATTGACAAATGTGCGCCACAGCGGCACCATACTGACTCGGTTAGAAGGCCTTGAGATGATGTGTCGGTAGTGCGTGAACGGCGGTTGTCTTGTGGATAGGCTGGTCCCAACCACAGTAATGTGGAATTGCCATCACAGGATCAAGACCGCCACCTGAGAATTGAACTCGCTCGAGGACGGCGACACCTTCGCCGTTGACGTGGCATTACCGGGGTTCTTGACTCTTTGATTGTTTTCATGATGATCATCATCTTCATCAGGCCCCCCCCCCCCCCCACACGAACCCACACTTGCGTTCACGAGCCCCCCACGCAGCGTCGCGCCTCTTGATGCTCAACACCAGCAGCGGGGAGCCGTCTTGTCTGGTGGCGCGCTCGGTAAAATGAAGTCAAATCAAACTACATTTGCGCTAAGAATTAAAAACGTGTAATTAGTGGGAAAATTGGAGCGAAAATTTAAATTAGCGACGGTTGACGACTAATTTGGCTCCGTGAAATCAACACGCGTGCCTGCAGAGTGGACACATTTGACCTGCGCGAGCGAGCGTGTCTGTGCACGCGAGTGCGTGCGTGTGCATCAGCGGCGGAACTAAGAGGGGGGGCAGTGGGGATAATTGCGCCCCCCTCCCCTATTCTTGATCCGACTCTAGGGTGTGTGTGCGTGTGTGGAAGGGGTGGGGGGGCAGGGAGGGGGGGGGGCACGAGGAGGGTGGCATTGATGTGCCGTGGGGAACGGTGGCGCAGTTGATGCCCTGCGCTACGAACCCAGCGGCCCCGAGGTCGAAACCCGCTCGCCGAGTCCATCTGCACTGGTCCTGGGCCTCCCCTAGGTTTGACTCGGCTGGGGAGACAAAGGCAGCAGGGTCCTCATGTGCCATGCCGGCCTTCATAGGTGCTCGCTAACAGGGCTTGCCCCAACAGTCTGTTAAAGGCCATATAGGGGGACGTTTGTCTTTTTATTTGTGTGTTTGCTTACAACTGGTTTTAACTTTGCATTTGCAACTAACATAGCTGAACTTTGACCAGGTTTAGCTTTGGGTTTTACTGTGTAACTGGGTTTAACGATGTCACTGGTTTAAGCCGCTCGCTGCGCACGCAACCGCGCGGTTCGGCCTTGCCCTCGGCAGCGAGTAAGTTGACAAACGCATCCAGGCAGGGACCCTCCTGAAAACCAGTTTCGAGGATTTCCGGATAAACAAACAAACGACCATGTTCACGAATTAATCCCCCGCTCGTTTTTCAAACACACGTGTGCATATGCGCCCCCCATCCCATCGCCCCGATCGCCTACTTTACAGGTTCTGGGAAACCCCATGTCCAACAATCCGGGGCTGCCAGGCAACAACCCTGGCATGACGTCGCCCCAGTTCTCCAATCAGCAGCAATCCTTCCAGGGCGGCGGAGGCAACGCTGGCAAGATGTACATTCAGCAGGGGATGTACGGCCGCGGGGGTTACCCCGGGGCGGGGGCCGGATACCCTGGCAGGTGAGGAGGGCGCACGGGGTCAGAGGGGGGGATGCGGTTATCCCTCTCGGGGATGTCCGCCTCAGGGGTAACGGGGTCAGAGGTGGGGGGATGGGAGTCGACAGGTTACTATGACAACAGTGGTGACCGACTTTGGCCGTGGTGGTGGTGGTGGTGATCACGGCAAGTTTGCGATCACGATGCTTGCGGTGAAGGTGATGACAAAGGCGTGTTGGAGGCGGTTGTGATGAAAATGGTGATGATGACCAGTGTTGGTGACGGTGTTGGTGGTGCTCATATGATTGGTGACGTTAGTGGTGATGTTGATGTTGGATTATAATAATGATAGTGATGTTGGTAACTTGGATGATGATGATTCGTGAGAAGATAATGATGGTGATATTAGAATTGGTGATGTTGAAGAGGTTGGTGTTGGTGGTGATGATTATAGTGATGTTAATATTGGTGACGAATAGAGAGCTGATGAATGTTGATGATGATGTTGGTGATGATGTGTGTGAGCAGCTCTCAACCACGCGGTAGCTTTCCCCAGCCCGCAGCAGCTGCTGCTGCCGCTGCTGTTGCCGCGGCGGCTGCCACGGCAACAGCCACCGCCACGGCAACTGTTGCCGCCCTCCAGGAGAAACAGAACCAAGAGATGGGCCAGTATGGAGCGGTGCGTACCATTGAACCCGAGGGGGTGGCACACGGAACATACCACTACGATCACGGGGGGTGTAGGGTCAGTACTGCACAGTCTGCGTGTGCGCACGTCTGTTTGCATGTATGCTCACACACAAATGTGTACTGCAGTGGTTGGGTGTGGGGGTCAAGGAATGCACCCCACTGCATTCACAGGGGTGGCTTGCAGCATACCACTGTGTTGTATTTGCTAGTACGGCATAGTCTGTACCACTAGATTCAGACGTGATCTAATCATTTTGGTGATACTGCACAAGCACAAATAATTAACTGAACGAATTCGTCGAAAACACTGTGGTCTTAAAAGTAAAAATATACAGTTGGTCACTCTTCGGTCAATGGCCCTTCTTCATAGCACATGGCATGTTTGTATAGACAAATGTGTTGAGTTTTATTTATAGAGGAGCTTGGAGCTTACCACTGTGCTGACTAGCGCAGTATGGCCTGTACCACGACGTTCACAGATTTGGCTTGGGACGTACCACTACGTTCACTACGGTAGTGCAGCGCAGCGTGTACCACTGCAATCACAGGATTGGCTTAGGGCATACCACTTAATTGTGTTCACCATTGTGGCATAGCCTGTACCACTGCAGTAGCAGCATTGACCTACAATTGCTCTTGCGGGTACACTTTCTCTTCCACGAGTCTAATATCGGCTCCCCCCTTCGCTTTGGTGTCCCCCCCCCCCACCACCTTTGTGCCCCACCCCTACAGGTTTGCTCCTCTTTCCAGATGGGCCCCGGGCAACCCTACCAGAACCAGTTCCTGAGCCAGCCAGGTCCACGCGGGGGGCCCGGCATGTCGGGCCCCATGAACCCGCAGGGCATGTCGCGGCCGCCGGGCCTGGGGCCCCTGTACCCGGCGCCGCCCGGGCAGCGCATGGGGCAGCAGGCGGGGGGCGGGTACCCCCCCGGGCACGGCGCCCAGCGCGTCGGCCCGCAGATGGGAATGAAACGCGCCTATCCGGGAGAGGTGAGGATTGGGAGGGGAGGGGGGGGGCGTGTGGGATAGGCACAGCGTGCGGGGCACGTGCAGGGGGTACTTGGCAACGGAGGCCAATTAAATGTGGAGAGGATAATGGGGCATTGTGGGAATAGGAGAATTGGGGTGGGGGGGTTATGATGGATCATAGAGGGTCTGTAGGCCGGTGGAGGGACATGGTATTAGGGGGGCTGAATGCCATGAGGGTCATGCGGATGACAGGAGACACAGGAGAACACGGAGTTGCGTTTTTTGCCCTTGGACACGCGCAGCCCCTAAAGGGGGGGGGGCGCCCTCCGCATGGCCAAACGGAGGCTCACTGGTGGGGTCGGGCTTGACAAACTCGTAGTGGCTCAAGCAGAAATAGGCCGCCTAAACAAGCCAACAGGTGACTATAAATAAATGAGATGCGAGACGCAAATAGCAGGCGCTGGTGGGCTTAATAATAACCGTCGCTGCAGAAAGCTGGAGAAAATCCCTCGAGACACACATTTACTGCTATAAATACGGAGCTCAACTGGCAGTGGCCTCCTCGTGGTGCACGTGCGCGTGCAGAGTGTGGGGTAGTTGGTTTTTACGTGGGGAGCGGTGGCATAGCGGTTATCTCACCGCGGGACGGACCCGGCGATCGGGTTTCGATCCCCGGCCACATCGATCTTAAATTGCGCCGCGTAAAAGAATTAATTGGGGGTAAATTTATACTGAACGTGTTTCATTCAACTGAACACTGGGCTTCCCTGTTGGTTGACTCTGCCTTAAATAACTACCTGGTGTGGTGTGCAAACATCAACGCTGGGGAGATAAAGGCACTCAGGTGCGGTGTTGGCCACCCACCTCCTTGTGTGTCGTGCCGGCTTTTCTAAGTGCTCGCTCGAAGCACTTGCTATACCGGGATCTTTGTGTTTGCTAACACATGCGTATGTGTGTGTGTCTGTGTGTGTGTAGGGCTATGGTCCCCAGTATCCTGGTGGAGGTCCTCAGTATGGAGGAGCCCAAGGGGGTCAGTTCCCGCAAGCCGCCCCCCAGCGAACCCTGGCCTCCCCGGGCTACCCCGGGCAGCGGCTGCCCGGGCAACCGGGCGGGCAGTACCCGCCCAACCCGGCCATGGGCCAGTACCCCAACCCCAGCATGAGCCAGTACTACAAGGTACGTGGGTCACCCCTGACGGTCGTTCTGCCTGTGTGCGGCCTGGTGGCATCTGTGAACCTACCGGACATCTGTGAAAGAAGAACTTCGGAGCTCGCCGGATTTCTTCCAGTCTAAATAAAGATTCTGATTCTCATTTAAGACGTCGATCGTCCTGCTCGGAGTGAACCTAGCCTGGCACAGATGCCGCAGCGACGTGACGTCGCCACCGCTTCGGGCATCACGATGCGCACCCCACCGAGCGGTTTGATGAGTTGTAACAATTAAGAGGTGGTGCACCGATTCCGGAATAATTTATTTTGTGTCTTGATTTTTACCATCTCGTTTGCATTGCTTTGCGTGTTTTTCATCTCGATTGCACAGTTTTGGCAGTGTTGTTATCAGCCAAAATGTAACGCTGGGGGGAATAAATCATCATTGCATAAATCACCGTCTCGTCTCACTCGCACGCACGATTTGATTAACGCGTTGCCAATGCGAGAATAGATGCTTAATCCGTGGCTTGACGCATTGTCACGTGCCCATCTTTAACGCAAAGCACTTGGGCTGGCTGTCCTGGGCTGTCCGGCGCAAGCTCTCAAACTACGTTCAGGAGAAAGTGAGGACTTCAAAGTTAGAGCCAGGCACCCTTACAGCAGCAGTCTGTTGATATCACAGCGGCGTCACTCAGGCAATGAATGGCTGTGGAGTAACCTCACTATTGCACGATCACATTCAGGACCTCCCCAAGGTTGACTCGGGCATAATTGACGACCTGGCACTGTACGAGATCAACAATGTTGGCGCTGGGAAGACAAAGACGGCCGAGAATAATTATCGCAACAGTATTATGCCCGGTGCCGCGTGCCGGCTCGCTAACTGCGTGCTTTTAGCCATGCTCATAGGATGGTGTCCATTGTCGTTGTGTGCACGTGTGTGCGCGCAGCCCCAGGAACAGTACAGCACCCAGAACTCCAGCTTCCCTGCGGGCAGCTATGGCTATGGACAGCAAGCGTACCCTGGGGTACGTCTCCACGCACTCACACTCGCGTGCCATGCATCACGATCCTCCGTGGACTCGCCCTCGCCTCTACCTCTTCCCTCTCATCTCACTTCTCTCCACACACTCTGCACTCCAACATCCAAGTCCACCAGTAAACCTTCACCGAGTAGGCGGTCGCTCATTCCCCTCTGCTCCCCCAACCGTCTGTGCTATCGTCTCCCTGCCTCTGTTCAAGTCCAAGCTCAAGGCCTTCAGAACCAGTCCTGGCCCGCCGCTAGGTCGATTCAGCCTTAAATTTGTACCTACTGCGATGTGTAGAAACATGAACACTGTGCTGTGCCCACCACTCCCCCGCGCCCACCCCCAACTTCCTCCGTGCCACCTTTAATTGGTGCTCGCAAACAGCTCTTGACCCAACAGTTGGTTAAAGCTATACGGCGGATCTTTTGTGTCTGTGTGTGTGCGCATTGTGCAGGCGAGGGGGATGCCCGGTTACCCTCACTCCCCGATCCCCGGGAACCCGACCCCGCCGGTGACCCCGGGGAGCCACGTGCCGCCGTACCTGTCCCCGAGCCAGGACGTGAAGCCCCACTACCCACCCGACGTGAAGCCGCCGTACCCCCCCGACGTCAAGCTGGGTCTGGTCCCGCCGACAGGTGAGCGCCCATCACACGACGGCGAGAGGAACGGCGACGCACGCACACGTAGGCGCACACGCACGCGTAGGCACCCACGCACAACAAAAACAACAACCGCCATTCGCCACTAAGTGGCGGTGAAGTCACCACGGCGCTTGTGCCAGGCTAAGTGCACTTTAAGGCCACGTGAAGTGTCGAACGTCCGCTGGCAGGAGGTCACAGGACAGACCCAGGTGCCACGGGTTGACCGAGATCAGTCATCACACGCACACGTAGACACGCACAAAAACGCGCGTGTCTACACGCACAGACGCACACACACGGTTTCAAACACACTCACTTGCGGAAACACGGATAACGATAATCGCACCTGGACACGTGCACTCTTGATTCACACACACATGGACACACAAAGACAAAGGTCACCCGTATAGCCTCAATAAACGTTTGGGGCAAGTGCGGTTAGCGACCACCATGGACACACACACGTGCACACACACACGCGTGCACACAGGCATGTGGACACCGACTCCTACACGTTGACGAACACCCATGGTCTCACACACAAGGACACGTGGACACGTACGCACACATGCAGACACACATCACACGTGCAGACACATGCAGACACATGCATACTTGATTAGATTTATAGATTGAGAGTTCCAAACCGGATGTGAAGTCGTCTCATAGTTGTGCCAGATAGGTGGACGTGTTGTGATGGAACCTGACCTGCGCGTCGCCCATCTCGTTGTACGTGGCTGTGCGCGTGTGTGCGTGGCTGACCCCACCCCGCCCCTCCCTGCAACCCCCCCCGCCCCATGTCCAGGGAACCCCGGGGATGAGCTGCGTCTCACGTTCCCGGTGAGGGACGGCATCGTGCTGGAGCCGTTCCGCCTGGAGCACAACCTCGCCGTGTCCAACCACGTGTTCCACCTGCGCCAGTCCGTGCACCAGACCCTCATGTGGAGGTGACCCAGGATTCCGCGCACCCCACCACTGCACGCTCTCCACCGTGCACTCTGCACTCGGCCCGTCCAGAGTCACACGCTCGCCCGCACGTGTGCGCAATTCCACTCGCGTTGCGCAGAGACGCCGCACTTCACGCGGCTGCGGCGCCCACCTCCACCGTGCCCTTGCCAGGGGCACTCAAACCTCGAGCCGAATCCTAGAACCTTAGCCTTCGCCTGGACCGTGATATTATATGACTGTTTTAACATCCCCATTCATTCCTTTTATGAAGCGCTCTGAGACGCCTTTATTGATGTGAAGTGCGCTCTATATAGATTGATTGATAACATTTAACCAGACCCCAAGAGCCGTTTTAGTACAGATCATAATGCAGATCTTAACCGTGACTTTAGCCATGACTAAGATCGTATATGTAGCCATAACAGCTCTATTGCTAACCCTACCCCTCACCCTAAATAAAGCTAAGCCCCTAGCCTGACCCCAGAACCTTTTCCTGATCCAGACCCTCGTCCAGACCCACAGCTTCCTGCTAGCCTTCAAAGCCTAACCTCAAAGCAATCCATGGCCCATATCTAAGACTAACTTGGCCCTCGTCCTTATCCTAGCACTAACCCCAGCCCTAGTTCTAACCCTAGTCCTAACTGAACCTGAACCTCGCTCCTGTTGTGCGGTGCCTCCCTCCTCCCCGCGGCCCGTTCAGGCCGGACCTGGAGCTTCAGTTCAAGTGTTACCATCACGAGGACCGGCAGATGCACACAAACTGGCCGGCGTCCGTGCAAGTGAGCGTGAACGCGACGCCGCTCAACATCGAGCGCGGGGAGAACAAGACGTCGCACAAGCCGCTGCACCTCAAGCACGTGTGCCAGCCCGGCCGCAACACCATCCAGATCACCGTGACGGCCTGCTGCTGCGTGAGTCACGCTCGCCGCACTCGCAACACGCAAACGCGCTCGCACTCGCACTCGCAACGCGCAAACGCGCTCGCACTCGCAGACACGTTCGCACTCGCAGACGTGTGCTCCACATGCACAATCGTGCGACACACTCGCACGTGCGCAAGCGAACTCGTGCTCCTCCACACTCACACCCCACGCTCACAATCACACTCTGACCCCACACTCACACTCCACACTCACACCCCACTCTCACACCCCACTCTCACACTCTGACCCCACGCTCACACTCTGACCCCACACTCGCACTTACACCCCACACTCACACCTCACACTCTGACCCCACACTCACTCTCGCAGTCACGTGAGCGGGCGTCTAGTAATAGACGCAGGCGCGCATCTGCTATGATGGTCTCCGTCCTTCGTGTGGCATCGGAAGAGCGCCCGGTGCCGAGTGTGCACACAGGTTGCTGGGTTCATGTTTGTGACTCCCGGCTTTGCTAACCGTGCGTGTGTGTGTGTCTGTATAGTGGTGAGTGGTAGTACAGTGGTTGGCGTACCGCACTACAAATTAGGCATCTTGAGTTTGATTCCAGGCCACGGCTGACACCATTGGCGGGTTATATCATAACCGATCGCGGGCCTCCTTTGGGTCGACCCAGCCTTAATCGAGTACCTGTTGTGATGTGTGAACCCACAAGCACCGGGGAAAGAAAGAAATCCAGGAATGCCGCTTGCCACCCTGTGCCCTCGTGCCCCGTGCTGGCCTTTAATAGTTTCTCGCTAATGGTACTTGCCCAACAGTCTGTTAAAGAGACGTGTGTGCGTGTTGCAGTCTGTCAGGAGAGACGCGTGCGTGTGTGTGTGTGCTGCAGCTGCTAGAGAGATGTTTGTGTCTGTGTGTGTGTCCTGCAGTCTGTCAGGAGAGACGCGTGCATGTGTGTGTGTGCTGCAGCTGCTAGAGAGATGTCTGTGTCTGTGTGTGTGTCCTGCAGTTTGTCAGGAGAGACATGTGCATGTGTGTGTGCTGCAGCTGCGAGAGAGATGTTTGTGTCTGTGTGTCCTGCAGTCTGTCAGCAGAGACGCGTGTGTGTGTGCTGCAGCTGCTAGAGAGATGTCTGTGTCTGTTTGCGTGTCCTGCAGTCTGTCAGGAGAGACGCGTGCATGTGTGTGTGCTGCAGCTGCTAGAGAGATGTCTGTGTCTGTGTGTGTGTCCTGCAGTCTGTCAGGAGAGACGCGTGCATGTGTGTGTGTGCTGCAGCTGCTAGAGAGATGTTTGTGTCTGTGTGTGTGTCCTGCAGTCTGTCAGGAGAGACGCGTGCATGTGTGTGTGTGCTGCAGCTGCTAGAGAGATGTTTGTGTCTGTGTGTGTGTGTGTCCTGCAGTCTGTCAGGAGAGACGCGTGCATGTGTGTGTGTGCTGCAGCTGCTAGAGAGATGTCTGTGCCTGTGTGTGTGTCCTGCAGTCTGTCAGGAGAGACGCGTGCATGTGTGTGTGTGCTGCAGCTGCTAGAGAGATGTTTGTGTCTGTGTGTGTGTCCTGCAGTCTGTCAGGAGAGACGCGTGCATGTGTGTGTGTGCTGCAGCTGCTAGAGAGATGTCTGTGTCTGTGTGTCCTGCAGTCTGTCAGGAGAGACGCGTGCATGTGTGTGTGTGCTGCAGCTGCTGGAGAGATGTCTGTGTGTGTGTCCTGCAGTCTGTCAGGAGAGACGCGTGCATGTGTGTGCGCTGCAGCTGCGAGAGAGATGTTTGTGTCTGTGTATCCTGCAGTCTGTCAGGAGAGACGCGTGCGTGTGTGTGTGTGCTGCAGCTACTAGAGAGATGTTTGTGTGTGTCTGTGTGTGTGTCCTGCAGTCTGTCAGGAGAGACGCGTGCATGTGTGTGTGCTGCAGCTGCTAGAGAGATGTCTGTGTCTGTGTGTCCTGCAGTCACACCTATTCGTGCTGCAACTGGTGCACCGCCCCACGGTTCGCTCCGTGCTACAGGGGCTGCTCAAGAAGCGCCTCCTGCCCGCCGAGCACTGCATAACCAAGAGTGAGTCCCACACCCACCCACGCACTGACCCGCCCTCATGTGTACTGCACCACAGAGTGACCCGCTCTGACCTGCACTGCACCACGCCGATCCGCACTGACCCACACTGAGTTCTACTGCACCACGGCATGACCCGCACTGCAGCACACATGCCCACGCCGATTCCTCAGGGTACCACGAAGTTGCAGCAGTAACCCACGCAGGGACCTACGCAGCGACCCGCACTGCACCACACAGTGACCCACACTAACCTGCACGGATTCGTAATGTACCATATGGAGTGACCCACACTGCACTACACTGACCTACACACAGTAAACTGCAAGGTGACCCACTGACCTACACTGCACCATGCAAATGACCCACGCACTGACCTGCACTAATCCATCACTCGCTGAGCTGCATTGCACTGATATGAACTGCATTCTACATCGAGTCACAGTGCACAGCACCATTACCCATTCATGGGACATGCACGGTACTCTTAAGATAGGCCCGAGTGCATTTGTGTGTGTGTGTATGTGGGTGTGCGCACATCAATGTATACGTCTGTGTTTGTGCCCCCATGTGTGTATATCGAAATCTTGGGTGAGCAGTGGCCTAGTGGTTAACACACCCAGTTCGATTCCCAGCCACGGCTGACATCAGTGGTGAGAGCCGGTCCTGAGCCTCTCCCCTGTGTTTGTTTTGACTTTACAAAGAGTACCTGGTGCAGCAATAGAAACAACGGCACTGCACTGGGGAGACAAACGGCAGCCTAGGGATTGTACTGTGGCCACGCTACGTCCTCGTGCGCCGTGCAGGCCTTCGTAGTACGTGCTTGCTAATGGCACTTGCCTCCCCCCGTCCCCCACACAACGGTCTGTTAAAGGCTACAAGGGGCCACCCGTGCGCATCTGTATGTCTACATGTGTGTGTGTGTGCTCGTGTGCGTGCGTGTGCACGGCGTGCAGTAAAACGTAACTTCTCATCAGTGGCCGTGTCGTCGGGGAGCGGCCTCAACGGAGAGGACGGCGTGGAGCAGACGGCCATCAAGGTGTCGCTCAAGTGCCCCATCACCTTCCGCAGGATCACGCTGCCCGCGCGGGGACAGGACTGCAAGCACGTGCAGGTTCGTCGTGCCGGTGCGGTGCGGAGCCGCTCGGTAGCGTGCGCGCGCCGGGCGTACGTGATGGCGCGTGGCGAGCGTCGTGTCAAAAAGTGCGCAGCGGCAAAAGTGTGCGCCGTCGTACGAGAACTAGTTGGCCTGTGGTCGAACCGTTGAGAACCCCCCCGCTGCTGCTGCAATACCTTGGGACAAGCACAAGACGCTGAGGCGGGTGTCCAAGTGGGGCGAAGGACTGCGTAACTGAAAAACGTAGTCTGGAACGTGAATGTGCCTTGGGGTGTATTCGTGCGCAGCGTCATGTACTCAGGTGTGCGTGTGTGTTGGCATGTGCTTGTGCTGGCGTGTGCGTGTGCTGGCGTGTGCGTGTACTCACGTGTGCGCGTGTGTTGGCGTGTGCATTTCCCCCATCAGTGCTTCGACCTCGAGTCGTATCTGCAGCTGAACTGCGAGCGTGGCACTTGGCGCTGCCCCGTGTGCAAGTAAGACTCGTGCACACAAAGACAAGCAATCCCTTCCAAAGATTAACACAATTTGCACAATGTAACGGATACTGGCCGAAACACCCAGTGCTGAATAAGTACCTTCTATGATAATTGTTTTTTTGCCCTTCTATCTGGCAACAAAACTGACGCTTTTTTTACAAGGAGTCATGTTTGCATAGACCACAATATCTGCAGTCATAATGCAAACAAAAAACATAACTCTGATAATATGCACTGTCCTTGAAGTTGATTGGTCCACACCTGAGACAGCTTTCCTTAGAGCCTAGTCTCACATGGGTTGGACCAGATGACACCAAAAGGTGTCAGTTTTGTTGCCAGATAGAAGGGTAAAAAAACAATTATATGTTTTACTGACAAATGAGGTTCCAATGGAAGTACCTTCTAATTACTCAATCGAGATGACACATGGCAACATCGCCATCTCGTGTGAAAACGTGGCACGACCCTCCTGATAAGAGAAACACGAGACTCCGTGTGAGGCTTTCCTGGGTAAAATAACCGTCTTAATAATAATAATACATATAGCAAGCAACATTACCATCTGAGGTTGTCAAGTACATTATCAGAGACTAACCAAGCGTCATTCTATCGCAACCACCGTTCACATTTAACTCTGTGCCGTCGTGATCTGTGCTCACAGTAAAACGGCGCTGCTGGAGGGCCTGGAGGTGGATCAGTACATGTGGGGCATCCTGGACGCCATCCGCAAGTGAGTGCTCATCTCACACACACAGACACACACAAAGATCCCCCGTGTAGCCTTAACAGACTGTTGGGGCAAGTGCTGTTAGCGGGCAGCACCTACGAAGGCCGGCACGGCACACGAAGGGGTTGAGTGGCCAACACCACGCCCGGCCGCCTTTGTCTCCCTAGTGGCGATGCTTACACACCGCACCAGGTACGCATTTGAGGCTGAGTCGACCTAGGGGAAGCCCAGGACGGGTTCATATAATCGTCGTTGATGTTGGCCATGAGTGGGAATCGAGCTTGGGTCGCCGGGTTCGTAGCGCACCGCGCTTATTGCTGCACTACCGTTACACACGCACACACACACACGCACACACACACGCACACACACACGCACACACACGCACACACGCGCACGCACTCCACCACACGCCGAGGTGGCCGGGTGGCTCCGGAGGTCAGAGACGCCGAGATTCACCGCGGCTATCACCGCGATTACCACCGGGTCCTCAAGTGTGGTGAGCTGTTGTGTCACAGCCTGGTCACCAGTGACTCTCAGACAGACCCAAAAAAACCGGGTTGAGTGTAATGAGTTGATGATCTTAGTCGGCTCACAAATTACTTACTTAGACACCTGCAGACTCGCATAGAGACTCACAGACCGGGCGCTCAAGTGCTGTGAGCTGATGGTCTCGCTCTGGTCCCTAATGACTGCACCAAAAAACCCATCGCATTCAATTCGGATCTGCGCTCAATTTGGCTAAATTCTCGCTCCGTGTCCCCGTGCCCCTGCGCTCACGGTCCCCCCGCCCCTCCTCGTGCCCGCACGTCCCCCTGCAGCACGGAGGTCGAGGAGGTGACCATCGACCCGACGTGCAGCTGGCGCGCCGTGCCCATCAAGTCGGACGTGCACGTGAAGGAGGACCCCGACGGGCCGCTCGCCAAGCGCTTCAAGCCGACCAGCCCCAGCCAGACGGCGCTGCCCAACGTCCTGGAGACCATCGCCGCGCTGGGCCCCGCCGGATACCCCTCCGAGTACACTCACCAGGGTGAGTGCGCGCACGAAGCCACTCGCGCTCACGCTCACTCACCCGCCTGTGCATTCACCGTGCCACGCTCCTGCAGACCCCTCTACCTGCCTGCCTGCGAACATGTTTACCAACCTGTCTACCTACCCACGTGACACTCCGACTACCCATACACACGATCTCACTTGTCTACTTGCCCACCAACTCACCACCCAAACCACGTACCAGCCAACTCTCACCCTACCCATCCACTCGCCTAAACACTCACCCACCCATACACCCATCCTCTCAGCAGCCCACCAGTTCACTCATCCACCCATCTATCCGTCCACTCACCTGTTGACCCATCCACTCGCTCACTAACTGTATATCTGCGTGGCACCACCATACAGGCAACAGCTACGCTGGCCAGGGCGGTTTTGGAGAGTTCCCGCAAGGTTCTTCGGCAGCACCAGCCCTCAACGACTTCATGAGCGGCCCCCAGCTCTCGCACCCGCCTGATGGAATTCCTGAGCAGGTGGGCCCCTCCAGCCCCAACAGCACTCACCCCAATACCATCACTGACGCTCGCCCATAACCCTGACCTGAACACTATCTGTTGTACGATCCACAACACTGCCACCAACGCAATCACTAACACTATCCCGAACCCAAAATGTTATCCTAACCCTGCACCCGGATTTCCACCTGCTGCCAAATGTAACTCTTTATCCTGACACACTGAACACGGATTCTTTACCTTAATCTTTGTAGTGTGAAACCAGACCCCCCAAAACTAGCCCGCACACGATCCGATTCACTATCCTTAACTATGCATGTCTGTGCCTTCCCCTGTGTGTCTGTGCGTGTGCGCATTCTCCCCTTCCCAGATGTCTCACTCACATCCACATGGCCCCGAGCAGCCCCACAATGCAATGCAGCCGGGTCAGGGCCCACCAATGGGAGGACAGCACCATCAGCATCACCAGCAACAACAGCAGCAGCAGCACCAGCAACAACAACATCAGCAGCAGCAGCAACAGCAGCAGCAGCAACAACAGCAGCAGCAGCAGCAACAACAGCAGCAGCAGCAACAGCAACAACAGCAGCAGCATGGCATGCAGGGCGGCGGGCAGGGGGGCGGCCTGCACCATGGGGGGCCACAACAGCAACCCCAGTCGGCGCCTCCACCGGAGCTGGGTTTCAACCCAGGTCTGGACGGGCCGGGCGGTGGAGGTGGAACCCCAGAGGTCCCAGAACCATCGTTGGATGTGAGTACCGCTATCTCCATCACCCTCCCCTATCCCCCGACTCTTCCGAAACCAAATGAGAGAGGCTGCCGTAATGGGGCAGTAAGATTCATAACAACCGTGTCGGAGACGACCCGACACCGGGCAGACCTAGGCTAGGTACGGGCTTTGAGGCTGTATCTATTGCTCAGGGTCGTTCATAATAATCTTTGTCGGTGATGCCGAGCCGGAACAGCTGAGCTCCGTTATTTGAGGCCAGCGATTCCAGTGTTCCCAAGCGTAGCCCGGCGGCGGTGGTGCAAGCCTACAGGAGGCAGCGAGGGTTGGTGGATGACACACAAATACCCAAACCCGCTGCGGTGCGAGGTTGCCATCTCCTGACTTCTCGGGGTATGGCAGTAGAGCGAGTGGGGTTATTTCCATCTGCATTACGTCTTCACGGGGATTTCTCTGGACATTTCGGTTTCTTCAACGAGTGAGAATTCATGGAGTTGGCCAAACAACCCAATGTAGGCTGCTTCCCCGCTTGTCTGTGGTTTTCTGCGTCGTCTTCTACAACAAAGCCTGTGCAGCGAGTTACAAATTGCTGTGTTTATTTATTAGTTTATTTGAGCGCGTTTACATGACAGCCTGGTCGCCGCATTTATCACGCGTAAAGCACAAGTGCCCCCCTCCAGTGTGCGGCGAGGAATACATGTTGAAGGAAAATGATCAAGCGTTTGGCATTGTAGTTTGAGATTATTCTTTGACAAGACGTTCCACTGCTCGCTGTTGGAGCTCCTGAAGGACGTTTCGTTTTCTTGATGTCAGCGCCGATATCGGAGGTAGAATATGGTTCGAAGGTCGGAGTGGTTTCTTGCTCAAATGCTGTATCATTTATTTGACCAGGAGATCTATTCAACCCATTGAGAGACCCTCTTCTGCAAGGGCAACTTGGTTTCACGCAAATGCGTGTGCAGGAGTGCCTGTGCCATGTCTATAGTTTTGAGCTGTAGTGTGAATTCCACATTCCATTTGTTTACCTCTTTGGAAGTGGCGCTAACTTTATTGCCTTTGGAGGCAATAGAAACGTAAAATGTTTCAACATTGATCGGAGACTTTGTTAACCTTCTGCTTGCAATATGCTTTGTCTGTGTGTGTGCGCAGCTGTTGCCGGACCTGACCAATCCCGATGAGCTACTGTCATACCTTGACCCCTCGGACCTCCCTAACAACAGCAACGACGACTTGCTGTCTCTCTTCGAGAACAGCTGAGCGAGCCCCCGCCCACTTCTGTCCATCTCCCAACCCCCCAACCCTTAACCATGAGCCCTCAGCCCCCTCCCCTCTCCACCTCCCCGTCACCCGCCCCCCCCCCCGTCATCGGCTCCGTGTCCGACCTCACGAACGATGTGCCGGCCGGCGTCACGTGACTGGCCTAGGAACCGACTGCTGACACGTGGCCCGGGCAGGCGGCACGTGACCGTGTGTCTCTGGCTGGCGGTCACATGACGTAAACGGCCGCCTGCTACCCCTGCTCAAACTACCGCGTCTCTGCAATCTTATTGGACAGCTGGGATTATGTGACCAGGAACAGTGACTCTTCGCTCCGCAGATGGAACTCCTGACCGAGCTGCTCGGGTCGGCCTTCGTGGATCACGTGATAGTACGAGAGGAACACACGGGGTGGGGTCGCGTTCTCACCTTCGCTGCGTCTTCCCGAGCCGAGGCTGCCAGGACCCACGCACCCCGCGATGGGCTGTGCTTCCTGAACCCTCCCTCACTCTCTGTGCCCTGCGAACTTAACCCTACCCGTCGTCACCCCCCCCACCACCACCAATGCTTCACCTCCTCACCCGACGATCGCAGCAGCAGCAGCAGCAGCAGCAGCGTCAGCCCCCAGTGGCCTCGCGATCCTCCCGCACTCCCCCGAGCGGCCGCTGCGCGGATTCTGTAAAGCACAAACGGCCACCGCGTGGACAAGAGAAGGCCGCTCAAGCCTCCTCGCCACCCAAACAACGAGGGCACGAGGCAGAGAACAGGGGGAGCAACGGGAGCGGAAGGGAAACGGAGAAACAGGGAGACGGAGGCAGATGGAGAAATGGCGGGGCTGGACAGGTTGGCAGAGGGAGAGAAACCGGGACGACGCGCGCGCGCCGCGCTTGCTGGCGGCAGACATTTTAGATGTGAAGCGTGGGCGGACGAGGGGGACGGACGGCAGCTGTGCCCCAGCCCCCTCGTGCCCATCGCTCCCTCGCCCTCGTCGCTCGCTCGTCCCGCCGCAAGCCGGCGACGTCGACGCAACAGAAAAAGGGATTCGCTTAAAGCACAAAGCCGAGCCGCGCGGCACCACCCGCAGCCGGCAACCCCTTCCGGCCGACGCTCACTTCCCGTGGCTGCCGGCTGCCGCAGTCTGGTGGTGTTGCCCCCGCTCGCTCCTTTGCTCCGTCGATCCCTCGATCCCCTACGACCCCTGTGAAGGGGGCCGGAGGAGGGGGCACTCCTCCCCCCTCCCCTGTCGGTGAATCCCAGGCCCGCAGCCTCTCGTCTGGGCGACTCTCCCAGCCTCTCCCTGCCGCCCCAAGCCAGGGTCTGCACCCCCCTCGTTCCTCCCAGGACAACCCCCGCCCTCCCCCCTGACCCCCCCGCCAGCAAACACTGCAATAACCACATGAATTGGGTGCATGCGCTGCCACTGAGCGCCCGTTATTTTATGAAACTACGTTTTTATTTGGTATATGTTGTATTTAATTTGAAAACCAAACTCGTGATGCTTCTAAATGAAGGTTTTTAATTTTTTTTGTTATTTTATAGAAACTTTTTAGTAATAAATAATAGAGAGATGGGGGGGGGGGGTTCTTTTTTTTTTCACCAAAGGCAAACTTTGTAATGTCGCTAGCCCTGTTTGTGTCGTCGTTGCTGATGATGATGATGATGATGTCGTTGTTGTTGTTATTGTTGTTGTGGTGTGACCGGGCCGTGGCCTCTCAACCCCCAAATCCCACGACCTCCGACCTCCGACCCGCGGTCCGGCCTCGCCCATCCGATTTAGCTAGCCCGGCTTTTACGTGTAACCCCCAACCCCCCCCACTCCCCGTGTTGTTAGTATGTGCCGTGCGTTACGTGACGACCCCCCCCCCCCCTCCCCGGTTACAAAAAGTAAAAAAAAAACTTTAAAAAAATCCCAACGATAGTCATATGTAAATACATGCAGATGCCTCATATCTCCTCTCTTACCCCCCCTCCCACCCCCCTTGTCCACACCTCCAGACCTCACCTTCCAGAGTCCTGACATGGGATTCGGCTCCCTGGCCCGACCCTCTAAGAACCTCCTCCCTCCCCAGGTCTTCCCTGCATGCGTCGTGTTTGTCCTTTCGTGGTAGCGCCCCCCACCCCTTCACACTAACCACGTAGTGCGTGCGTGGGTGTGCGTGCGCGTGCGTGGGTGTGCGTGCGCGTGCGTGGGTGTGCGTGCGTGTGCGTGCGCGTGCGTGGGTGTGCGTGGGTGTGCGTGCGCGTGCGTGTGCGTGCGCGTGCGTGCGCGTGCGTGCGTGGGTGTGCGCAGAGCCGCCTTTACGTTTTCTTTCGTCCCGCCCGATTGGCACGCACCCCCCCCCCGCCCGTTCGTGTCCGCGTGTTGTGAGCCCGTGTTACTCGTGGTAAGGGCAGCTGTACAGACGTTTTGCTGTTACGAGTGGCTAAGTGCCCCCCGGCCCCCGCTGCCCAATCTGTGCCCACCCCTCCCGGCTCGTGACCCACTGAACCCCTTACCCGACAAACATGTGTGATGACCCTGTAACCAACCCGGCACCCCCCCCCATCTCTCCCTACTCCCATCAGCAACAACACCGCGCGTGTCTGTCCACTTGTTGGACCACCTCCGTGCCCCCCCCCTCCCTCTGGTGTGTAAATCTACCCCCCCCCCACCACCACCACCAAATAACAGTCCCTAGACCCCCCCCCCCCACTTTCTCCTGACCTTGTTGTTGGTTTGTCCACACACACACCAGCACGCCTGGGTTCTCTATGGCGATGGCAGCTTACCCATTTCCCTCCCCCCCGAGTTCCAAAAAGAAGATAAAGTTTAAACAATTTAGGGGGGTGGTGGTGTTGGGGCGGGGGGGTGGTTCGAGGTGGGTGGGGGAGTGGCCTGTCGGACACACGTGCTCTGTAACACACAAAACACACAACACCACACACACTGTAACACACACAACACACACGTTCGGGAGAGCGAGCAGAAGAAACGATGCTGCCCGTGTTTTATGGGTGGAGTATTTGGGAGACACGGCGAGAGAGAAAGAGCGGTGGGTGGGGGGGTGACACGTGGCGCTACAGACAGAGAGGGACGCCATGAGATGGGAATTGCCCCCCCCCCCCCCCCCCTGTACAGTGCTGGACCTGGTTCCCTCTGTTGAACCCAATTTTTAGGCTGAGTTGACCCTAAAGGAGACCCCCTCCCCCCAGGCCAGGTTCAGATCCCAGATGTATGTGTGTACGTGCGCGTGTGTGCGCGTGTGACCCACGCCCTCACCCGGTTAATCGTCTGCCATGGGGTACAAAAATGTCCCCATAGCAGCGAGTGTCGTTTCAGCGACCCACCGATCTTCGTCCCTTCCCCCGACTCGTTCCGAGTGGTGCGGCTCCCTCTGTCCACCGATCGTGGCGCCTCCATCCACACACCTGTGTGTGTGTGTGCCCCCTCCTCTTCCTCTCAGTCGGTGTGTGTGTGTGCGCGCGCTCGAGACGTGCATAGCATTACATAGCGGAGTTGGCAAGTGTGGCATTGTGTGTGTGTGTGCGCGCGTGTGTGTGAGTGTTAAAGGCGTGCGAGCTTACACGAGGACTGTGTATGTGTAATTGTAACCGAGTGCGAGGGAGTATTAGGCGTGTGTATTTTAAATAAACGTGAGTGTAATGAAATGTGTGTGTGACTGAGTGAATGCGTGTGGAGCGTAATGGAGCATTTAAGGATAATTGAACGTGCGCTTGTGCAGCCTACAACGGTGTGTGTGTGTGTGATTGTGTACGTATGACTGTTTTGTGTGTTTGTTGAATGTGGCTGTGTGTGTGTGTGTAGCAAGCAAGTGTGTGGGTGAGGACAGGGGTGAGTGCGCATGACCGTGTACCTGAGTGTAAGGTGTGTGTGTGACTTGCGGAAGTAGCTGGCCCCGTGTGTGCATAACTGCGTTGTGTAAGGAGGCTAAGTCTGTGATTGTGAAGGTGTGTGTGTGTCTGAGCGAGTGTGACTTTGTGTGTCGTGCCCTGCCCTCTAACGTGTGTTTCTCAGTCTCCCACACCCATGTACTGTACTGTACTTGCAACTAGCCCATGTGACCACCTAATATTTATCTAATAAATATCAATCTTAGACAAAGAACCCGTCCTGTTGCCATGTTTGCAAGTGATTTTGATGCCTGTTTATTTAGATACTAGCGGGAAGTACCAAGCGTTGCCCGGGCGAAAACAACAACAACCTCTATTCGCCACTAAGTGGCGGAGACGTCACCACGACGCTCGTGCCAGGCTATGCACCTTGAGGCCACATGAAGTGTCGAACGCCCGCTGGCAGGAGGTCACGGGGCAGACCCAGGTGCCACGGGTCGACTGACTGAGATGACCGAGATGGCTGGCTGATGCACCACCTGTGCCCCCTACTGTGCCAACTTGCTGTGCTTTAGCCACCCGGCGCTCCGCTCGTTGTTGTGAGCGTCGCTCCTCCGCCCTCCGTTGTTGCTGGAGGGCGACTGCCTCCAACTGCCCAGTAGCGTCCTTCACGAGCCTCCTCCACTGAGGCCGATCTTGACACCGCTGGTACCAGTCATCGGCAAGTCCACTCAGCTCCACGTCCTCCTGTACCACATCACTCCATCTCTTCTCTAGCCCGTGCCGCGCCCGTTTAGCCCCCTCGATCCGGCCGAACAAAAGCTGTTTAGGCATGCGGGCTACATGTCCCCCCGGGGCCTGCGGCACAAGCTTATTAATACAAATTTTCATTCGTGGCTTAGTGGTAATTAATTGAAGGTGGATGGGTTACCAGCCCCTCACACCCGTCCAGAGCCCCCATTTGGCGCTGGGATAGTTCAACTTCCAAAAAGGATCATAACCCAGATGTTTGCCTCGTCCGGCCAAAATAAGAAAGACCAGCTTAAACATCGCTCTGCTAACAGAAACTTTCAGGAGCGACTCAGCTGATGGTGCTGTGAACTGCCACCCGATCGCTGATCTACTCGGTGGCAGAGTACAGCACATCTGCCTGGTATGAGAGCTCGTGTACCACAAAACTGCTAGCGATGCACATAAGAACCTGGAACACTGAAACCGACACCAATCCCCTGGCTCCCTGTTATGGTAAACATTCTGCCACCAAATATCCAAAGGGACATGCAAACTGCAAGGGAGTTTACACGTGTTCTTGCCAACGAAAACCCAACGATCACCCAGCACCTCGACATTGTACCTCGCTGGGATCACATGCTGTCGCCATCCGAGAAACTCACCCAGATCCGGAAAAAAAACTCGCGAGCAGAGTTAGGAACAAAGTGGGCATCCAGAATAAACACCTCGTAAGAAACCCAAATATCACAACCTCCTGGCTCTGACATTCATCCTCTAAGCCACTGGTGTACTATTAACCGCACCGGAACATCAACGGACCGATGCAATCATCTCCTTCACGAATAGGAAAAAAAATTAACCCGTAAAAACTAAGTTTTTCACTATAAATCCTTTATATGCGTGGCGGCTAGAGTCCTCTCGTCTTCTGGCTTGAGATGGCTGCCACCTATGGGTCAGATGATTGCCTGCCACCATTAAGCAATTGGTAATTAAATATAAAAAAATTCCTAAAAGTGTAAAGTTATGGAAAACATTTTTCACGAAAATAAATTGTCACGCACGAGTCTGTGTGCAAAATGTCAGCTCGATTGGATCACGGTAAGTGGGTTCAAAAACGACCGAAAGATTTGCACGGTCGTAAGCGCGCAAGCAAGCAAGTGAACTTAATATAAAGGATTTAATAAAAGCCAAGCCACAGTGCACTTGTGACCGTGGAAACCCAACTATGTACCGTATAGTAAAACCACTAGTCTACGCTTCTTCAACAGAGGAATAGCCAAACTATAAACAAACTCGCGCCTCAAGCCAAAGCTGTTAATCCATGATCAATTCCTACCTTATTACAGACCAATTCAGACCTTAATGGTCACCCCGTGCCCTTATAAATCTCAACGTTAATCCTACAAAGTCCCATCACAAGGGAGAAACACAGACAAAAGTTATGTTACTAAACAAAAACTGTTTTATGTATTCATTTTGATCATTGGTGTCGATGCTACTTATCATGCTACCGTCTGTGATCTTGCATGCTGCTGCTGATGCTGATGCTGCTGCTGATGCTGCTGCTGCTGATGCTGCTGCTGCTGATGCTGCTGCTGCTGACGCTGCTGCTGCTGACGCTGCTGCTGCTGATGCTGCTGCTGCTGCTGATGCTGCTGCTGCTGATGCTGCTGCTGCTGATGCTGCTGCTGCTGATGCTGCTGCTTGCTTGATATGTGGATGCACACACTCAGATTGTACATGTACAACAATAAACGCAAAATAGTATGAAGAGTTAAACAATACACTATCATCCATGTACATCCCAATCGTGTTTGTCGGTTGCTACGGGGATAGCTACTTTCCAGAGTAAAGAAAAAAAACGGTCCCACGACTTTTTTTTTGGCCGTATGATTTTTTTGTCGCCCGTATTGAAACGGCTGTACAAGAATGTGGGGTGAACCGTATGGAGTTGACACGGTATGTGAAGCCCTCTCGTGGCGAGCAAATCTCGAAATTTGCACTTAGCTCCTTAGCTCCTGAACATATTGTCACATGCAAAAATATAATTACAGAATTATGATTGTGTACCCAGGAAAGCCTCACTGAGCCTGATTGAAAAGTATAATCCCACTTGAGTAATACGCCGGTACATTTTTCAGAGGTTTGCGGTTCGGGCCTAGCGGCCGCCCTGGTTATTACTGTGGGTGTTGGAACTGTAACAGAACCACACGCTGTCTGCTTCACAGTTAATGGTTTGCAAACTGGACCTTGCAATGAAAATGTCAATGGTTCAATGCCATCTCCCGGAGCGGCAGTTAAAACAATGGGGGCATTTTTGTCAAAAAAACGAAATCCTCTTCACCACCTGTGTGGCGAGGTAAAGCATGGGATGGGTACGCACATCCATTCCCAGACGTCTGGCCAGCGTGGATGATGAGGAGACAAAATGCCCCCTCGAGCCTGCTCCAGTGAAGGGTCTTCCGCCAGCAATGGCGTGAACAAGTCTCAAGTTTCATGTATTAGGTATAGCCCTGTGAGCCATTCGGCTCTTGACTCGGGTGCAACGGCAACAAACAAAAAAACAAAAACATGAACAAGAAAACATCTTAAAGTGACTATGTGCAAACAGAAAATCCAAGAAAAGACAGCAAAATATTGCAGAAAAAGCACCGTACACCAACACTGTGTGCAAACATCCCAGTGGGATGCAAGTCAAACAACAACAACCACAAGACAACTTAGATTAAGACCATCAGTCTAACTCTGTACTACAACAAACACACATGGCCAAACCGAAAAACTTTTAAAAAATCACCAAAATAAAGCCATAAAAGCAATGAAACAGTGATCATAGGAACTGACATCACCCCTTCACCAACTCACCCCTTCACTACCTTACCCCCTCACCACCTAACCCCCTTACCAGCTCACCTACTCACCACCTCACCCCCTTCACCTCTCCACCTTACGCCGCTCTTCACTTCAACAGGCTGGGCCCCCACAGAGGGCCAGAAGTTCCGCGTCTGTCCGTGGCCACGGCTCCTGGACCTCTAACAGGAGGCTGGGGGTAGAAGGACCGCCTCACCTTCACTTAAAACACAACATTTACGATTCGAGTGCGAGGCAAACCTCACCCCGTCTTTTCATTTCATTTACTTGAGCTTCACTGCTGTGTACCGAACATTCTAAGGTTTTTTCACCGCCTCAAAACTGTGAGAGGGCAATTGAACTCGCTGAAGTGGCGATGCTTTTGGTGAATTGTGCCTGGAGCATACACTAACAAATCACACCGTTCCATTGTTGAAGGGTTCGTCTGTTAGTAACTGTACTCATGCCAACTTCTTGGTTCTTTCGGTAAAGTCACGTAGAATGGAAATAATAAAATAATAAAAATAAAACATAATGACGTTTCGGCCACAACGCAAGCAGCCGTCCTCAGGTGAAGAACAGGGCTGTCGGAAATACCTGTCTTTCCGACAGACGCTGTCTTTCCGAAAGACCTTTTCTTCACCTGAGGACGGCTGCTTGCGTTGTGGCCGAAACGTCGTGAGAATTATTTTATAATGTTTTATTTTTATTATTTTATTATTTCCATTCTAGGTGATTTTACCGAAAGAACCAAGAAGATGAATCCCTGCAGTCACGAAAGCTTTAAATCGAAATTGTACTCATGCCAATTTGTTAATTGCTCATCAGAATCGTTTTTTTCATATTTTGTTTTGATTCTCATCATCAGGCCTCGTGGTGTAAACAAGCGCAGTCTCCACAATCTGAATATTTATTTATTCTAGAGAAGAAATCCGATGAGCTATGAAGCTTTTTTTCATAGATGTCCAGTAGGGGCGGGTAAGAAAGTTACAACAGCAAATTCAATACGATAAAGTAGGTAAAAAGCAAGTTTTCCAATGCACGCACTGTTAATTGCACTCATAAGTAGAAATTACATTATCTTGACCCCAGAATTAATCAAATTCGAAGTGCTCAATAAAAGTGGGTGGTTTCCTTTCGATGTGTTTACATTTCTTAATGCAAACCACCAGATTTCGATTTAAAGCTTTCGTGACTGCAGGGATTCATCTTCTTGGTTCTTTCGGTAAAGTCACGTAGAAGGGAAATAATAAAATAATAAAAATAAAACATTATAAAATACAATTCTCACGACGTTTCGGCTACAACGCAAGCAGCCGTCCTCAGGTGAAGAACAGGTCTGTCGGAAAGACAGGTATTTCCGACAGCAGCCGTCCTCAGGTGAAGAACAGGTCTGTCGGAAAGACAGGTATTTCCGACAGCCCTGTTCTTCACCTGAGGACGGCTGCTTGCGTTGTGGCCGAAACGTCGTGAGAATTGTATTGTATTATGTTTTATTTTTATTATTTTATTATTTCCCTTCTACGTGACTTTACCGAAAGAACCAAGAAGAAGGCAAGCCACCAGCTTTTATATTTGTTATTGGCCCAGGATCGGGGGGACGTTGACCGGCTCTTTAAATCTTGAATTTTCACGCGAGACGAGTATGTGTACACAATTTTAGCTCGTTATGGCTTCGTAGATCCGAAGATT